AATTACCCCAGTTGATTTTATATATTACTACCCCCAGAAGTTTTTTGTTTTTTTCATCGGTGTAGTGTGACATCAACAGTTTTTTAAGACAGAAAGGAATCATGCAGTGATCACCAGGCTTTAAATGTATAACTCCAAACAGACAAACAAATAACACCACCAGGCCAACCCTGCTCAGAAATGGGAATGCACAATTTACAGGTCTTTTTGTTAACTGATTGTTGTTGGATGCCTAGTTGATTAAATGCAAGGGAAATAAGATAGATATGTTAGAAAGAAAAATGTGGAGTATGCACACACAGCTGAAGAACCCTAACCCGATTCATCAGACGGTTTCACTTCGTGGAAACCATCTGACCTCGCAGCTTTAGAATTCGTTCGCTCGACGGAAGGCTGGTACTTTTTTTCATTTAACCAATCACTGCTATTTGGTCATGACTTATATAATGTGCAGCTAACAGGACTAACTGCTATATTAAGCTTTTCCCAAATCCTGTCGGAAGAAGGGCAATAACATCTTTCAACTTGATAAAATTCACTGAACATTCTCTTTGTTCCATCTTTAAATCCTCGATCTTGGGAATCGTTGCCAACTCAGAATGTATGGCTCTTTGCTGATTGGCTGGTGCCCAAACTTGCACTTCCAGTGGTTTTGTGAAATGTCTAGTGTATTCCGATTCCTGACCTAGTCGCTGGAGAGAAATGAAATTGAGCGGAGGCACTAGGGTGGTGCCAGCCTGGCATGGAGAACCTCCCCTAGAACACACTGTGCACCTTTAACTTTAAAATATAAGTAAGATGATACGCCCTGTGACTCAAATACTCTTACTAGGAGTTTCCCCAAATACATTTTTACCCTTACTTTCTCAAACTGCTTTGCACTTCTACTGCTTCTACTTGAGTTAGTAGTATTACTATTTTGTAGTAACAGTAATCCTCCCACCTCTGCTGCCTTGGTTGTGCAGTACCTCCACTCCCTTTGCATCTCTTTTGAAGGGGCTGATATTTAGACGGCCCTCCCCACTCCTCTGCATGTTAAATCAGGTCCCGGTGCCCGCCTTTGATCCCCTCGGATTGGGTGGCGCGCGGGCTGTGACCTGGCGGAGGAGGAGGAGGGAGGATGGGGGAGGACGGGGAGGGGGAGATGTAGGCCGTTTGAAGAGCGGGCACTGGGGCAGGGCAGAGGAGCCAGAGGGGCCTGGAGGAGAGGGCCCATCAAAGGGGAGGTGGTAGGTGACTTACCCGAGCGAGGCTTCACTACAGTGGGGTGTATGTTTGTGGAGCAGTGGCCTGTCAGCACGGAGCCTTGCAGGACATGGGAACATTTCAAGGCTGTTGTCCCTCACTCTCTCTCTCTAAAATGCAAGTACAATTTTTGTCAGATCATTGTGCGGTGATTTGACAGATTTTTTAAGCCAGATGCCCTTTCCTGTGTTGCAACCAGCCACAATATAGTGACCAGAGAGGAAGAAATAGAGTTAAAGTGTGCTGTCTAAAGTCAAAATGCAAAGTGTGATGGGTGATTGACGTTTTTTTGGCCAGGCTTTTGGCACAGAATGGCTGTCGGTCTGCGTGCCTGAGGATAGCTGTAGTTATGTAAGTTTAGTGGTAGTATAGTGGTAGAGGAGGAAGTAGTAGTAAGATGTCAGGCATTTACCACAACAGAATAGCAGTGATAGTAGTTGTAGTAGTTCAGATACCTGTAGCTACATAAGCAGTTGACCAAGTAGTAGTTTCAGTAATATTAGTAGTAGAAGTATTAGTAACAGTACTAGTAATATAGTACAAGTAGCAGAGATGGGACCAAGTCATTGTTTTGCAAGTTTCAAGTAAGTCTCAAGTCTTTGACCTCAAGTCCAAGTCAAGTCCCAAGTCAGAGTCTCGAGTCTCGAGTTACTGGCCCATGAGTCTAAGTCAAGTCCAAGTCGTCTGCTTTGAGCTTCAAGTCATTTCAAGTCTTTAAGCCAACGTACCAAATATTGCTTAGATTAAAAGACTTTTAAACTAAATTGTACCTCAAAAGTCATGGTATATTTATATATGAGTATTTATATGAGAGTTGCAGAAATGCTAATTTTTCCTTTTTAAATGTCTTGACAAGATCTTAGTGTGAATCATTATGGTCAGAGCAGAAAGTATTCAGTTTTAAAAATGCCTCACAGTTATTTTGTCGTGTAGTCTGTGCTGAAAAGAAAGGACCATGTTCTTTGTCTTTCCCTCTGTTTTACTGTATTGTACTGTATATTACTGTAGTACATTTGAGGATACCATATCACAGTTCTTCAGTTACTGTTGTGATAGTAACAATAGAAGTGGGAGGGACATGTTCCAGTTTATTCCTGTAAAATTAATCACCGCATTTATTAACTAAAGAGAAAAGTATTTTCTAAAAACATATATTTTTTAGGAGATGCATCAAGTCTTCATCGTCACAGGCCTCAAGTCCAAGTTTTGCCCCAAGTCTTAGTCCATTTTATGAAGTCAAGTCTCAAGTCCTAAAAATAGTGACTCAAGTCTGACTCGAGTCCAAGTCCCCACATCTGACAAGTAGTTTACCCCAACCTAGTATGTATGATAGTAATAGTAGAAGTAACATTAGGATATTACATGTTGTTTACCAGTAGTATTACTGTTAATAGTAGTAATGGAAGTGGCTACAGATGAGGATATTAGAATATTAAAAGGTGTTTATCATGAGTAGTAGAAGTAGTAGTGGTGAGAAATCTGTAACTACAAGTAATTTACCATGTAATTTTAATAGTATTAGTAATAGCCGTAGTTGTAGTAGTAGTAGTAGCCGTAGGAAGAAAACCTATGCGACGCCATTTAATAACTCACTCTCATTGCTATTCCTTTCTCCCACTGTACTGTATTGAGTTTAAGTACACCATATTAGCACATGCTCTGTTAGCACCTTAGGGTAATGTCCCAGCTTTAAACTTTTTATTGTAGTTCTGACAGAAAGCCATTAAAGCCACACAAGTTAATCATATCTCAGTGAAGTAGCATCCGTGCGTTGGCCCTCCTGATGGATGAGAATGTAAACACAGCCATTCTTATCTCCACTTTAGCCTCTAATTTACTACTTTACTGCCCAAATCCAATCAGGGTGGGGTTGCCAGCGCAGTAAACCATAGGAACACATGTATGGATCATTTGCTGAGTGGTTAGCGTCATTACTCACTGGAGCCTGCTGTCTCTGGGCGGACCGTGCCAAGTGTCCTGCCTCTCCATGTTGGGTACAGGGCAGGAGGGGGAGGGGGACAGTCAGAGAGGGGGGTCGGTGATCGAGTGGGTGGGGTGGGTGGTGCCCGCGATGCTTGGGTGGGGTTTGGTTGCTTAGAATGGAGGCGAGATGGACAATCAGAAAAATACTATTGGTGGTTTTCAGATTCTAGAATTTGATGATGTACTTTACCATGAAATATCCAAAAGGTAAATTCACAATTGTTGAACTTGGTATTTTCAATTACTGATTACACGCAAGAACTTACCGTATAGCAACATAATTTTGTATTTTAACAATATTTATTTTAGCTGCCCCCCATCTGTATTAATTAATATTGGCCTATAGAATGTTGTGATGTCATCTAAAACCCAGCAATATTTTTCCTCACCCTGAACATGATATTGGGTATGAAAACCGAGGGAAGGGCATCTGAGTTAAATGGCATGTACCCAATTTGTTACTCATGTGTGCAAAATTTCTCTTGCCCCAGCGCAGTACAGTATATATTTCTTGAGGCAGTTCTTGAGGTCAAAATAAGTCGACAGTGTACTGTCTGCATCTAATTATAAAGCATTATATTGTCTGATACTCAGGAAGTACACAGTTAGCATACTGATTGTCACTCTGATCTCTGAGAGTTGTGAAAAATGCTTATAAACTCATGGTGAATAAATGGGATGCTCAAAATGTATAAGGTAAGAGGAATAATTTTGGACCACTACAAACTTTTTAAAATAAGCTAGTTCTGTTTTTCACATTTTAAGACAAAAAAAATCTGTCATAATCAGATACAGCACCTTCAAATAGTAATTCAGCTCCACACACAATATTTAATTTAGAAAATCACATCAGAACTTAGAGACAAGATCCAATTTAGGGATGCTTCTATTGCATCACTAGACTATATCGACTTGACAAATTAGATACAGCCAATTACAGCTAAAACAAGTCAACCACATGCTTGGCTCCACGAATTGTAATCATGCACAAACCAAGTGGTGAAGTTTCATGTTAAAGCAGCACTATGCAACTTGTGACATGACTGGGCTAATTTAAAACTCACTGTTGAGCTCCATTGTAGAACATTCCAGGCAAAGCAGTAACATCTCCCAGAGACAAGCAGACTTTTCCAGAAAAGTAACGTAATGTACCTTAACCTCCTAGGACCCGAACTCTTGCATGACATGTTTTATTGATTTCCCTTTGTTATTTGGGCTGATTTGGACCTGATTTCGATGAGTGCAAAAACAAAGAATTATATTGTTTATAATATTTTTATATTTATATGTCCACATATGATATGTAAAACATTCATTTTACGTTTTAATCATTTTGATGGAACTCAGTAAAGTCACAACTGAATAGTGATTTTCAAAAACTATTTAAGTGCCTGAACAACCCAAAATGTGTTGGACGTATAGGTCCACAGGAGGCTACCTTATAAGCATGAAAAATAGAACTAGTTCATTTTCAGCATCAAAGTTATTCCTTGCTTTCTCAACGCATTCTATGCATTGTAATTATTCACACCCAAGCTAAGTCACTCCCCCTTCAGAGTGCTATCACGTCACAATCTGCGCTAATGAAACTACTGCACATCGGATCAGGTTTGTCAAGCTGTAGCATATTGTTTTGCATCATGCTTTTGTCTATATGGAGAATTGCTGTGTGGGAAAAATGGAAACTCAGGCTTGAAGAGAATCGTACTGCTAATATAATTGAGTACCCCCTCTTTAATAATATTGTGTTTTATCTTGTCTTGTTTCCACAGAACCACATGGTACAAGCACAACGGCCCGTGGAGGGGACCAAGAGTCAGTCTCGTAATCGCATGTGGACGGGGGTACTGGGGGTCACGCTGGTGGAGGGACAGGACCTGCCTCAGAGCGGAGTGGGAGATGTCTACGTACGCTTCAGACTGGGAGAGCAGAAGTACAAGAGCAACGTGAGTCTATGAGCAACAGCTGCTGTATTAGTAGTGGTAGTAGTAGTAGTAGGAGGAGGAGGAGGAGGAGGAGGAGGAGTTGTCTGTGTGCACTTCAAACTGGGAGAGCAGAGGTACAAGAGCAATGTGAGTCTCTGCTTCATCAGAGCTACACTAACGTCTGAGAACTATATCTAAGTCGTAGAGGGTTACCAACATTTTGACATACTAGTAAGTAGCTGATACAGTGATAGGAGCAGAGTAATAGTAAAAGTTGTTGTAGCTGAAGTAGTAGTAGTAGTGATGGAGAAAATGCTGCTATATTGTTATAATGTTGTTACCTCATCAAAAACATACCCGGAGCTGTGATTTGCTTCATTCACACGTTTGACTAACCCTTTATTATTAAATACATCTCCAAAACCCAAAATGCTCTGATCCATGTTGTGATGTCATGTAGTGGTAGTTTTCAAGTGAACACAGTCTGGAGTAATAATAGATTTGCTTCGGGTGTTTTGTGCAGTGGGTAAGACTGTTTTTAGCGGCAGGCTAACTATGGCCATTGACATGCACTAGCCTAGCACCAGTGACCTCTGCAAAAACAAAGACTGGATGGAATATTTTAAAAAGTGTTTCCACACATCTCCAACACTCTGGCTAACTAGGAAATGAGGTCCTATGTCCAAAATTGTGGATTGTCCCTTTAATGAAACCAAACAAAACTCCAGGTATGTTTCATGAGGAAACAACATTATAATATAGTTCAGAAAATAGTGTAATATATTAACCCTTTTCCAGATTTATTACCGAACAGAGGGGGCAGTTATCAATCCTGTTCTTACTATGGACCCATTAGTAATATGTAGAAAAAGGTAGTAAATATGGCTACAAGCAAATACACAGAAACTCCTTATTGGATTTATTTCTTGTACGGTACTCTTTGTTTCCCTGCTCTAGTCTTCATTCCTACACTCTGCCCTGCTCTGTGCCCTGATCTGAGCTTGCCCGAGTTCAGGAGGTGCCCGCCCGGTGCTCACCTCCACCTGGTCGTGCCAATGGCAGAGGCGGCTCATTAGGCTGAACCAGGCTGCACCTCTCTGCCCCCACTTCCTCATTGCCTTTCTCTTCCTTTCTGACTCTTTCTTCTGCTCTGTCCTTCTCTTCCATTTTCTGTGTATTTCTACTAGGGATGCACCGATCTGATACTGGTATTGGATATCAGTGCTGATACTGAAATATTTGCTGGACTGGATATCGGTTTTGGCTAATTTTGAAATTTTATTCACACAAAATAATTTAAACAACTGCTCCATAACACATTTGGATCAGTTTTGCTTAATTTATATTTGTTCAAAGGAAATAATATCTGTTTTCAGTCTCTGCACTGGTATCAGCTGATATCAGATATCAGCAAACACTTAAAGCTATAGTATTGGCATCGGTACCAGAACTGAAAAAGCTGGATAGTGCACCTTATACCTAAATTCCCCTCTTGTTCTCTCCATAACTGTGTCTCTCTTTACTCTCTCCTGATCCTCTTTCTCGTCTCTGTCCTTCATTTGCTATATTTGCATAGTATCACCATTTCTCCAACTCTGTACCTCCTCTCTCTTCTTGTACTGCTCATTCTTTCCCCCGATGAGTGGATGGTGCCTGCTTTCTCCCCCTATATCCAATGATCGTATAAAAAAGTGCACTAGGGGAATGTGACGTCACCTGTAGTGTTCAGCTCCAGCCAAATGAAGCTCATCGAGGCTGGTAGTTGTAGGAGCGAATCTGGGGCTGATTTCCATATTTGGAATTCTGACTACAAGTACCTAACAACAAAGAACCAATCTGGAGAAAGGCTGTTGAACGTAATGGATGCTCTGCTGGTTTAGCAGGAAGTGGGCATTTAGTAGAGATGTAACAATAACTGAAATATCATGATATCATATCGTCTAAGTTCTCACAATAATATCATGGACCATCACAGTATCCTGAATTACAAGTCTCTTTGCTTAAATTAAGAGTTATGGTGCAGCAATAGCTAAAAGAAACAATCTTAGTTCTTTGGATTAAGTCTTGTCAAGGTATTTTAAGAGGAAAAAGCAGAATATTAACAGTTTTGATAGCCTCCACAAAATATCGCAATAAATAATCGTACCGTGAGAGGTATATTGCGAAAATATCATACAGAGAGATTTGGAGATTGTTACATTCCTAATCGTGAGCCTCCCCACCATATCGTGAGCTTTCCCATGATATCCCAATAAATATCGTACCATGAGGTTCATACCCTGACTGTATCGTATCTTGAGACTTGGATATCGTTACACCCCTAGCACTTTTCAGTGCTGTCAAACAAACCTGTTGCTAATGCTATCAGGTGCGACCCTGGGCAAAGAAGGCGCCTGATTTGTCTGCTATTGGTAAATAGTAAAAGGTCACATTTTTATACAGCGCTTTTCCACCTTCCAGGCAATCAAAGCGCTTTACAACAAGAAACTGCTCACCCTTTCACACACACATTCATACACCAGTGTGCGCAAACACTGGGGGTGAGCTGGGTTAAGTGTCTTGCCCAAGGACACACCAACATCATTCATCTGTGGGAGCTGGAATCAGCCAACCTGTGGGTCAGTCGATCTGACCGCTCAAGCAATAATGTTTTATGTTGAGAACAGGATTTGAACCACCAGCCTTCGGATCAGTGGATAAACTCTCTTGCCAACTGAGCTACTGCCGCAGTATTAATATTTATATTTTGATTTAGGGACAAAATAACAAAATGCAATACAAAAAATTTTAAGATGAGTTTGATTGCAGCAGTTCAGAGAGGGGCAAATTTTTTTTCCAATACAAAGTGAATTGGAGTGAATTGGAACCAGAGTTGATGGAGCCAAGAGCGTGCCCATGCTCACTTCCTATTTGGAACAGAGAAGCTTGTATGATAGCTAGGTCCATTTAGGTCCATTTATAGATACAGTCTGTGTATATGTGCTACTCCCCTTGATAAGTGACTGGTGAATGGTACCTGCTCTCTTCCCCCGTCCCCCTCTACGTCCTCCTCCTGATGAGTGAGTCGTACCTGCTCCCTCTCCCAGCTGAGTGGACGGTATGCAGATGATGTACGGGTGGCGTCGCTTGTTTTGCGTTGTCGTCTCTCCCTGTAAAAACTGTAAAGTGCTTCGCCTGGCGGGTTGTGTGTTTGTTTGCTGAACAAAGCTGCTTCTAATTGGGAGCTGTCAGTGTTTACAGTCCCAGAGAGGCTGCTGAGGTGTGCACATACAAGCACGCTCAAACAGAAAGAGAGGTACACGGCTCTACTCCACCCGCCCCACCTCCACCCACCCCACCTCCATCTGAGCTGACATGGGAAGACTCAATCCAACTATCACAGAGACAGAGAATGTACACTCTTTTTAGGATTTCAAGATCCTATATTCTGTTAAATATACTCGTGTGTGCTTTTAGCCGTGTTATGATGTTGTTCCCTCATCAAAAACATACCTGGAGTTGTGTTTTGTTTCATTCATGCATGTTTAAGTAATACTTTATTGTTAATCTGTCATCTACATCTACATCTCCAAAGCCCCAAATGCTCTTTTCCACCTTGTGATGTCATGAAGTAGTAGTTTGAAAGAGAACAGCTACCAGGGGTGAAATTATCCAAATGATTCTAGGTATATCTTTTTGATGAGGACACAACAGTTTAACATAGATCAGAGCAGGGGTCATCAAACTAAGGCCCGCAGGATAACTCTGACCCTCCATGCTCCTTTGACCGCCCTCTCACGGCGGTGTGAAAATTTTAATATATAAGTCGCACTGGAGTACAAGTTGCAGGACCTCCCAAACCATGAAAAAAGCGCGACTTATAGTCTGAAAAATACATGTCTGCATCTTGTATATTGTTGATTTTTTTCAATTAAAAGATTATATTTGTATGAAGTATTTATATTTATTTCAAAATAATTATATAATGTATTTACATTTGCCGTCAAATTTACTGCTGAATTTTTGTCACCTGACAAACTTGAGATCAAACAGTGACAGTCATCGCACGCGCAGAGTACTGTAGTGCAGTTAAAGACAGCAAAATGGCGAGTGTTAAAGTACAAAAAATTGACAGAAAGTGCAGAGTTTTCAAAGAACAGTGGACGACCAGTTATTTTTTTGTTCAGTTCAAGGACCATGCAGTTTGTCTGATATGTAAAGAAAGTGTGACGGTTTTCAAAGAATATAATCTGCGTCGTCAGGGTCATACAATTCTGTTATACATCCGACCCAACCTCAGCCCCCATCACAGAGAAAAAAAGTTTGGTGACCCCTGGATTAGAGAATACCTCAATATAGGACATTTAAATACTTTACTATGTGTTGTCATAATGCCCGTGTTTTTTCTTTATGTTTACTACTTTCTACATTTGATAAACATACTGAAGAAATCAAATATATGACACAAGATACTGTATATGGAACTGTGTATCAATTCAAATAACTCAGCTATATGTATGTTATATCAAATCCTTAGAGCAGCCACCCTTTGTTGACAGTGCTGCAAAGCCTTGGCCTCCTGTCACTGGGCTTCTTGATGAATTCAACATGAAATGGTTTTCACTTCATAGCTGTGAAAAGTCAGGGTCAAGAAATACCACAAGTGCAAACCAGGATTGAAAGCAAAGGGTAAAGGCTATACTATAGATTCTTATGTTCAGACCTCTATTTGTTTCATACATTGACAGTTTTGGGTTCACTCTACCACCTTTCAAAGAAGTGTTACATGATGTTGCTATGATGTGTAGTAGTAGTAGTAGTAGTTGTAGTAGTAATTCTAATAGTAGTTAGAACAGCGTGCTAGAGTCAATAGTGAGGCACAGCACTGGTTTTACTGGGCTAGGATCTTAAAACATAAAATAAATTAGTACTAAGCTTCTTGTAGTAGTAGTAGTAGCAGTAGTAGTTGTTGTATCCTGCAAGACAATGAATAGCTTGGTAAATGACATAAATTCATAATATTAATTAGAATTTTAAAAGTTGTACAAGGTTAGATTTATGTACAGTGAAGCCCAGTTTGTTTCAGATCCGGCTCCAAGAACTGATACTTCGGTAGCTGGAATCATCACCTGATCTGGATTATTTGTTTCATGGATAACTGAACTTGGAAAAGTGCCAAAAGGAAAAGTGCTATTATTTTACCCCATGGAAAAAAAAGACAAAAAACAAAAAACGAACAAGGGTGTGCACAATTTGCCTTGTGTCTCGGGACAAGACGCTTCACCCATCTTGAGTATTATTAACCAAAATCTGTGTCAACGCAAAAGCTTTGTTACTCATATGGTTAGACAAAGTTAAATAAGTATTATTATAAGTTAGATATTTGGATTGTAAAACATACTCTCCAAATTACAATTTCTTCATAAACGTGTAATTAACTAAACACTGTAGAACTCAAAATGTCTCCTCTGTATATGTCCTGTGCCCCATCAGAACCTGTGCATCCAGCCCAACCCCCAGTGGAGAGAGCAGTTTGACCTGAACCAGTTTGAGGACTGTCAGGAGCCGCTGCAGGTGGAGGTTTGCTCCAAAAGGGGCCGGAAAGGAGAGGAGTCCTGGGGCACGTGAGTATCTAGTGCTTATGTCCAAGAGGATTATTATAGTAGTAGAAATAGTAGTACTGTGTATATTTTTGGTTGTTAGAAATGTAATCATTAAAGACGAAAAATTATTTTTGTAAGCAAATCTTAAAATTTAAAAACTTAAAACAGTCACAAAAAATGGAATCTATATCATGAACACACCAATACAAAATTCTGAAGCATTTTTTTTCAACATTTATTTAAACTATTTATTTATTGCTGGTAATTGGTAATCATCACAAAAACTGCAGTTGTGTCCTTAGGCAAGGCACTTCATCCGCATTGCCTAGAGAGAGAGAGAGAGAGGAGAGAGAAAGACAGACAGAGGGAGAGAGAGCGAAAGACAGAGAGAAAGAGTGTGTCTCTATAATCCCATCTGTGTGTGTGTCTCAGGATAGACGTGGATTTGTCCAGACTGCCCCTAAACGAGGCCCAGCTCTACACTAACGTCCTGGACCCGGGGAAGGGCCGCCTGGTGTTCCTGGTGACCCTGAGGCCCGTGTGGGGAGTGTCCATCACAGACATGGAGACCGCCCCTCTGGAGAAGCCCGAGGAGAGGGAGAGCATTGAGGACAGATTTGTGAGTCCTGCCGCCTTTATATATCAGAATAAACATTGTGAATTCAGTCTGACTAAACACCCATCAACTCTACTAAAGTGTGAGGTGCAATTTTAGTACAAACTAGGTACATTTGCAGCTTTCTGGTCAAAAAGTGTGAGTGTGCTTCCTCCTTTCCTCTCCAATTTCAAGAACTATGTGACATAACACTGTTTCTGTTTACACACACCTGGCTCCAGAGGTCAGGAGTTTGAAGTGTTAGACCAATCGCACTTTACGTCCCCTCACAGCATCTAAATAGTAGTGTAAAATAATGGTATGGTATAATACTTTGATAGACATCATGAATATTCCTAAATAAATGTTCTTGTTTCTTTGCAGAGTTTAAAGAACACTCACAAGTGCATGATCGAGGTGGGCTTCCTCCAGGTGAAGGTGGTCAGAGCCAATGACCTGGCCTCCTCAGACATAAACGGTAAAGTACTGCACAGCATGTACACTGGATACGACAGCCGTATATCTTTTCTCATTATTAGTTCGGTGACATTGTACTTGTGATAAAATGCAGAACTATTTTCATGCAAGGTATTAGGAACTGTATGTATCCTGTGCTCCTATTGTGTTAAAATGAAACTTTAAATCTGCACTTCAAAACGATAACTGTGTTTTAATACTTTTTTATAATTTGTAATTTATATAATATTTTCTATATTATATATAATATTTATATAGTATAATATAAATATTATATATAATATTTATATAGTATAATATAATTTGTTGGACAGGTAAAATTAACCCGTTCTGTGTGGTGGAGGTGGGCAATAGCAGGCTACAGACTCACACAATGTACAAGACATCCAACCCTGAGTGGAACAAAGCTCTGTCCTTGTAAGTCAGATGTGCTGCACAATCAAATCATGTCACATTTTCTCATATGCTTTTGTGAAATCTCTGCTTAACTATTATGTTCTGACCCACAGCCCCATCAAAGACATCCATGAGGTGATCGAGGTCACCGTGATGGACGAGAACGGAGACAACTTTTTGGGCAAAGTGGCTGTGCCTCTACTCACAGTAAGGATCTAAAACAATGAAATCAGTGGATTTATAACGAGTAATGCTAATACTAAATGCATGTTTGTACAGATAAAGAATGGTCAACAGATGTGCCTGTGTTTAAAGAAAGAAGACCTGAGCAGGACATACAAAGGGACGATTACATTAGAAATAGATGTCATTTATAACAATGTAAGTAAAGTAACTGATTAATTATGGCCTTATAGGAAAGATATATAGCCTGCACTCTTACTGTTTAAAAAAATGCATTACAATCACAACTGAAGCTGGGTTGCCAGAGCCTTAATGTGCAAACAGAGGACACATACAAGTTTTTCTCATTCTCTGTATATGGACAGGCCATGCCACATGTGAAAGCTCACAACCTTCATGTTTAGGTCAGGCTGATGAAATTTAAAGTAAAATTCTTATATACATTATAATATTATATTGCTTTAATAGACAGACTGGACTGAGTTTGTCGCCTGCTTGTCTCCATGGAGATGGTATTTTTTTGCCTGGATGTTCCACACTATGTTCCACATCAAACATCTATCTCCATGTGGAAAGCGGGTGATGCCATCAGGTCAAGTAACAGGTCAGATCTGCGGAAAGGCACCCCACTCACAGTAGAAGGCATGATTTTCAGGCTAATTATGAGTAATAATGAACAGTTAATAGTAATAAATACAGACAAAAATGTTCCATAAAGAAACATTCTAGGCAAAAACATCAAATATTGTTATAAACTGTAAAATCAGCTCAATTGAAAAAAAAGGAGAAACTAAACAAATGTATTCCCTTTAACGGGTAGTCAAAAACATATTGCTTTCATTTAAGTAAAGGTGTTTTGGTGCTTTTTGAATTTTCTTTGGTATTTTCTTGGGCATTTCTATCTACTATCCATTTATCTGCCTGCAACGCTATGATCTTGCTTCATTAATGCAGCTATAATAGTTGTTTTAGTGTTTTATCATTTGCAGCTCTGAAATGAGACCTTTTACAACTAATGAGTTTACAAAAAGCCCTCTCCTTTAACACAGCTCTTTTTTTGTCTTAGGTCCGCGCTGGAATCAAAACCTTCAAACCCAAAGAGACCAAATTAACCGAAGAAACCCCCAAGTTCAATAAAAAGGTGAGGAGTGCCACCATTTTGTTTGCAGATAATTAGCAGAGTTAGCTTGATGTCCGCCTCACTGCGTCCAACAAATTAGGCTCAATTCTTAATGATTTTAACACAGTCCGTCCACTCATAAACATAATGCGCTTCTATGGGTTTGTGTTAAAAGCTGTTGTAATGGTCTTGCTTAGGTACTATCCCAGAACATCTACCGCGTGAAGAGGATTAGCACGGCCGTCCTGTACACGCTGCAGTACATAAACAGCTGTTTCCAGTGGGAGAGCACACAGCGCAGCCTCATAGCCTTCCTGGTAAGTGAGCGGCTAATGCTAATAGTGTACGCCGCGGGCCAAGCTAGTTTATGTCACTGCAATGGTGTGAGCGAAGTCCAGATCAGCACTTTTGTCTAACTATGAGAGAATGAAAAAGGTGTAAGAGAAGTTTTGGTAAACTGAGTTCAGTCAATTATGAAAACAGTTTTTTGGCAGTTTAGTCATTTACAGTTTCGAAATGTTTTTTTTTATAAATCTACAATCAGAATGAATTCTAGGGATGCACCGATACGGTACTAGTATCTGATATCGGCATCAGTATTGAAAATGTTGGTGGATAGGATATCGGTTTCCAAGATATTAGTTCAGTCTATATCCCATTGTGGTTCATAAACTGGTGTAATAATTAGGGGTGTACCGATATCCAAGTCTGAAGATACGATATCGTTGTGGTATGAACCTCATGGTACGATATTTAATGCAATATTCTTGGAAAGCTCATGATATGGTGGGGAGGCTCACGATTAGGGATGTAACAATATCCAAATCTCTCTGTACGATATTTTCACAATATACATCTCATGGTACGGTATTTATTGCAATATTATGTGGAGGCTAACAAAACTGTGAATAATGTACTTTTTCTTCTTAAAATGCCTTGACAAGACTTAGTCCAGAGAACGAAGACTAAAAGTGTCCCAAATCTGATTTTTTCACCCCATGCGACCTGTATCTGATTTTGTAATGACCCTGTAAACAACACAGATCCGATTTTTTCAAATGCAACACAGGCCACTTGGATATGTGGTCCTAAAACTGATACATATCCGATCTTTTGACACGCGACTTCAGTCTGAACAGCCAGGTCACATTCATCCGACCTACTACATGCTCACAAATGTTCACAAACGTTCTTCTCATCATATGAAAATTGTGAATGAACTCCATGTCAGTGAAGCAGTGAAGCACACAACAATCCCATCACTCTGCATCCACACGTTCCTTTCTACGGACGTTGCTGCCACTGCCCCACAAAACGCCATGGTCAAAAACCTTGTCCTTCTCTTTTTCAATCTCCTTAAAACAAATAAGCTGTATGTGTTCTGGCTCCGGTACAACAGAGACTTCAAAATCGCCAGGTGCTCAGTGCTAGCGTTTATGTTTAGGCTACTTAATCTGTGTATCATTTGTTCATTAGTTTTTCAAAATAAAACCAAAAATAAGAGGACTGAGACTGGGACTGAGACCGGGACCGAGACCGGGACCGAGACTGGGACTGAGACCGGGACCGAGACCGGGACCGAGACTGGGACTGAGACCGGGACCAGACCGGAACCAGACCAGGACTGAGACCAGGACTAGACCGGGATTAAACCAGGACTGAAACCAAGACTGAGCTCAGGAGTGAGACCGGTTTAGTCCTGGTTCAGTCCTGGTTTAGACCTGGTTTAGTCTTGTTTTTGTCCTGTATTCGTCGTGGTTCTGTTCGTATACGATGCAAAAGTCCAGCACCACAGTTTAAGTCATGGAAACGGGAAAAAGTCGTTATCCATTTTTTCCTTTACCCATTTAAACACAAAATCGAAAACTGAAAAAACAAGTTGTTTTCCTTTTTTCCCCATTTTGTTTTTGGAGACAAATAATGAAAAAAAAAAAAAGTTGTTTTTTTATCTTTTTTTTGTTTTATTTTGAAAAATGAATGAACAAATGATAAATGGATTCTACTTCTGTAAACAATGAACATGCTTGCTGCATGTGACGTGTCCTCCAATGCACATGTGGGCAGTTTAAAGTTCACACTGGAGATCACATACAAGTCGCATTTAATTGGAAATGTGAACGACCTTGCAAAAAAATCTGATTTCACAAAAAATCTAAATTAAGCATTAAGCCCTGCAGTCTGAATGTACCCTATGAGCTCTTTGTATTGACAAAAATTCACCCAAAAAAGTCTCTGGTGCAAGTGCAAGAGCAAAAGTGTTACATTTTACAGTATATTATGACTGGCTAAAGACTTTTTGTTCAAGGAATTTCCCACCATAGTCTATAAATGTTAAAGCCTTGAGAACCAATTGTTATAAAAAGAAAAAAAATCACATGCAACTTTAAACATTTTCATCTCCAAATACTATCACCCACTCTGGAATCCTCTCCCTTGAAAATCCTGCCTCCCGTTTGGATCCCACGAGCATAAGAGTCAGACATGTTTTATCCTCTGCCCTAAACCCTTTCTTTTCAGCTCGTCTCGTCTCAAAGAATGTTCCACAGATACACAGACACACAGACACTTGTACATGAGCGTTAGCAAAGCGCACTAACCCCTCGGCCTGGTGTGGGGCTGTGTGCAGATCAGAGCAGACACGCACTGAGTCCTGTTCAAATGTCTCACTTTAGCTCTTTGTAATGAGCAGCAAAGACTTTCACAGCAGAAAACGTGGGCTCACAATGTTTTACCATAGTCTGTCTACAAGGCCTATTTTAAACCAAAGAAATCGATCGGTTTCAGAATGATAAAAAAAATTTAAACAGCTGCCATAGAGATTATATGTCTTATATGTTATATGTTTTGAATGGGAAAAAGTCATCAAAATGTTGCAGAAGCTGAAATCCATGAATAGGTTGTGTTGATGATGTTGATAACTTTATCGATCTATCTCCCACTTCGGATCTCGGTTATGACGTCACATTCAAGCTTCAACCGTTGTATTATGTTTTGTTCGTATGTTTCAACTCGGAAAAAATGTAGACGCCAACCGAAAAGCTGTTGTTGTTTTAACACTGGCCGAGAACCAGACGCTCCAAAATAACTACGCGCTTCAAATGCACAACCTCGAGGAAGAATTCAGTATAAATAGTTTAATTGAGTAAAGTATTTTTTAGACGAGAAGTTGCTCAGGAGTATAAGTCGCACCAGCCAAAAAAATGCTCAATGAAGAAGAAAAAACATATATAAGTCACACCGGGCTAAAAGTCGCACTTTTTGGGGGAAATTTATTTTATAAAATCAGAGACCAGGAACTGACATTTCATCTTGAAACACAAGTTAAGTAATCACAACAAAATACAGAACAACAGACTGAATAGGCGTTAATATGTTAACATAACATATTAACAGTTATTCAGATAATTATAGTATAAACAATATAAAAAAGTTTACGAAAATCTCGATCTCACTCCAAATCACTAAATCCACTGAATTATTCCTCGTTGTCACTTCTGCGTGACCTCCGGAGCTAAACCGTAGATCCTTGATGTAAACGGAGCGCCGCTTCCTTTTCTGCGTAACTGTCATCAGACTCAGTATCAGTTCCAGTTAGAATTATTCCGGCCTTTCTGAATCCCGACAGGATGGTTTCGGTGTCACTGAAGTTCAGGCTTTATCCATTCATCCAGTGACTTCCAGGAAAGTTGCATGGTGCACTTGCCCAGTTTCCGTGAAGCTGTGTTCTCCATCCCCACATTCCACCAGTCCCTGAAAAGTTTCTCGCTCACTCCAAACTTTCTTTCTGCGGCTCGATTACTGTTTTCAGCTGCATATTTCACTATTTGGAGCAAGACAGTGGTTTTTTCTACAGGAGACATGTGCAGTAGAGCGACGTGAGAGTGGTACAGGAGTAACAGTTGTACTAGATACTGGCACACAAGCCTAGAGCGTCCCCTCGTGGCTGTCAGTGTGAAAATTTCAATGTATAAGTCGCAGGACCACCCAAACCATGAAAAAAAGTGTGACTTATAGTTCGAAAAATACGGTATATTAGTGAAGTGAAAGCGTTGGTCTTGTGGGATAGTAGATCATTTTGGCACGTTACCTAATAGGAAATGGCCTAAAAACATGGATGACACTATTGCAGTAATACAGACGCAGTAAGGTATTACAGTAATAGAGACGCAGTAAGGTATTGTAGTAATAGAGACGCAGTAATACAGACGCAGTAGTAGTATAGAGACGTAATACAGTAAGGTATTGTAGTAATAGAGACGCAGTAATAGAGACGCAGTAAGGTATTGCAGTAATAGAGACGCAGTAAGGTATTACAGTAATACTAGTGACTGAAATGGTCATTTAAACCACCAAAGCGTCCAAACACAATGAAAACACTTCATACTACAAGTGACATTGGGCGTAGCCATCTTGGATTCTATCTCAGAAGCCTTGCTCGGTCTCCTCTGAGCTCTTCCGAGTTCCGTGTTGTAAAGGAAATGGGTCGTGTCATTGCGTATCACTAGGCAACGTCCTTGGACCTCTGAGTCGGATGGATAACTATGGGAGATTCAGTGTTTTTATCTGTTGAATCTTATCATTATTAGTTAGACAATGGCTCCTCAGACTTGTCATGGTGAAAAGTGGCATCACTTTCTGAAGTTAGCCAGAGAAACTAATTTCACTTTTGATTGTTCATGCTAACTTAGAGCACCTTGAATTTTGCACCAGTTTTTGTTTGTTTTATCGGAATGTAATGTGTTATCAGAAGGAGATTACCTGTGGGATCAGAATCAGATTTTTTACCAGAATTTGATTTCATACTGGAATGAGACTTCATATCTGAATGTGATGTCTTATACAAAAAGAAAACTTCAAATCAAATCACAAAGGCTGCTCTTATGTATGTATAATGTAATGTTCTTCTGAAAAATATCCTTCTAAAACCACCATTACTGTAAAGCAGGTCATACTATCTCACCCATAGAATATTTATATACACACGAGCTCCATCTGTTAATGCACTGTGGAGTGAAGCAACCGGAACACTGCTTCAAAACAGTCTACTCACAAGATTAACTGCATAACTTATGACAATACGTCTGGTGAAGGTGTATGGACTTAAAAAACACAAAGGAACACTTGAGGATTACCAGCAGATGATCTGTACCGGGGGGAATGTGCTTTTGAAGAGGCAGACACACTAATACTCCGGGATTATCCAAACATGCCAGAATGACACGCAACTCCTTGTATGTTATTGATGAGGGAACAATATTATAACATGGTTAAAAGCTGAGAAAAAGCCAGTCAGGTAGGCCGATAATCTTCCTTTGGT